AAACTTCTTTTGGATCCTTTCTCATGTAATGGTGGCTGCTTCCCTCCGACCACATTGGTCACATCAAAGACACTCATTGGAATAAGAATATTACTATTAATTTAAATTCAAAATAGCAAACACGAAATAAAAAACAATCTCCTATAAAGATGGACATTCAAGATTTCATTATCTTATTTTTTTTCTTTCTTTAAATGTAATGTTTTGGGTTTTTTTTAAGTAAAAGGAAAAGTTGCAACTTTAGGACTAACCTCGAGAATGGAGAAAAAGCAAAGGGGAACTCAAAATCAGCAAATGGGTATTTTGTTTTTTGGACCAACGACTGGTCTCCTCTTGCTTTGTTTTTGAGCCTGCAAGCAATATCCAATCCTCTGTTTTTTCTTTTAAATTATGTTACTTTGAGGCAGAACCTGATGCTTCAGAATGTTCCAAGTTGCATGTGATTAAAAAATAAAAAAATTGCTAAAACAAAATTAAAAGAAAAGAAATTTAAATGACAACAGTAAAGAAAAGGGAACTCAGATAAAGAAAAAGAAATCTCTTATGAATAAAATGAGGTAAGGAAAAGAAAAAAAAATAATAATAATTAAGGGAGGGAGCTATATCAAAACAGAAGTGGTTCTTTTTGAATCATTGCATTAAGAGGCATAACTAGCATGATTAGTTTCAGTGATTTTTAAACTTGGCAAGCAAATATCGAATCTCTCAAAATCTAATGGTGATTTCTAAAGTAGAGACTATAGTTTATATTGTCTAAAGAGTTATTCAATTCACTTATGCTCCATCAAAGGATCAATCCTATGTTAAATGTACTTAAAATAGTAAATTCTATACTAAACTACTACTACTACATAGTATCGCAGGCAAAACCGACTATGAGGCGATACGTTATGATTGTTTTTCGACGTTGATGTGATGCTTGTGAGAAGATAAAGATGAACTAGCCGATGTTGTTGCTTGAAAAAGTGAGCTAGGAATCCTAAAGTGAAGGGGGGAAGATCTTAGAATAACATAAAGAATCATTCTTAAAAGAGAAGAAAAAATAATGTATTTGTTTCTTTTCGAAGAGGGTTGCTCTGTTGTACCTTTTTTTGGCCAAAGGTTAATGCTTTATATGAGTAGCTTGCTCCTGTAGGCTGTAGCAATGGGATAGTACCAACGGTTTGCTTGGCCCACGGCTCCGGTCCACTGTGTTCCTGCCATTTAACAAAAAACCAACAAAAGCACTTTCCTTAACAACAAAGGAATTATGACATAACCAGAATCCACAGCATAAAAGAGCGTAAACTTGAATGATTAGTATAGAACCCATTGTCCCGAAAAGTTAAAGGCATTGTATACTTCAAAGTACAAATTGCAAAATCAAGTAAAAAGCACTCGATGTAGTGAATATGCCATATTAGAAATCAGATAAGAAACAATTAAACCGTAAGTTTTAACTTTTTCATACTGTTTCTGTTAACACTATTCTTCGATATATTCAGAAAGGAACATAGCAAACAGTAAATTGGCTTATAAGTTATAGCCAAAGCCCTTGATTAGGCTAGGCAGCTTGTAGATGGTTAATACACAGAATCTCACTAAAACATGTTAACCAGAAAAGGGCAAGTTTTCATGAAAGTGTAAGCGTGTCAGATTGATAGGACGGGCTAGTTCGGAAGGACTCCAGAACCCCATATTGGCCAATTTTGCCAGTCAAGATTGGAATGACATGGATATGGTTAGACAAAAGCAAAGGATAAATGTAGGGAAACCAATGAAGAAAGATACTTAACTTCCCAGCGGTAATCGTGTACCGAACTCTTTTGAACAATCATTGTCAGATTCTTCCGTAACAGCCTTAATCTACTTAGATTTCCAAAGCAATATTTTTTTAAGTGAATCTAAATTCCCCAGGGTCCCAAGGACCCACTGTGCTTTTACACTTTAAAGCTCCCTCCAAATCCCAATAACTGATATATAACAGGACTATATCTACAGGAAGGAACACACAC